TGTACTCATTCTCATGTAACTACAACTGGAAACTCTATTTTAAAATTTACTTAACTTGGCCCTTATTAAGGGTTGTAAGGATAGAGTTCCAAATTATGTTTTTTCATACCCAAACTCTAAACATCACTGGCCCTAAGAATAGTTGACCCTTGCAGTGATTCTCTGTTGTTTCTTCCCTGCCCAACTCTAGTTGATAGTAAAAACAAACTGGGAGAACCAATTGGCAGTTCGCAGCTTCACGTGTTTTTAAGGGGAAGGTTATCTTATAAGTGATGTATTAATATCGGGCACCCTGTTTAGGACTCGGAAGAGTTTTGTTTTCCAGTACGTAACTTGCTTTGTGCCCTGATGAGATTTCTGTTTTGCTTAATCTACAATAGAAATTCTCTGGTGCAGTTTCTCCACCACCGTAGCTATAGGGTGAGTGAGAGTGGGATAGATTTGTTGTGGTACGGAGCAGAGAGAGACTTCTGTTGGCTGAACAGAAACCAGCAGTAGATAAAAATGTGTATTTTTTTAACACTTGCATTTTCCATTCTGCAGTTCTTCTGACAATATATTGTAATAAAGCAAAGGAACTCATTCCTCTTTTATATATATATTTATATATATATATAAAAATATAAGGGTTTGGTAGGATGTGAACAGGCAAAGCAGTTTTTCCTTATGAATTCTGGAAGTGTTGGATTGTGGCTTGATAACAGGGAATTGGGCAAACCCACCTGTAGCAGAAGCGGTTGGTGGGATCTTTTTATACAGTGGGCTGTCTTGGCAAATATCTTGCAATCTTGTTATTAGCACAGTAAGAAATATGCAGTCTGTGGTGTAGTGGTGTAGTCTCTTTACATTGTGGTCTCTCTACATTGTGGTGTAGTCTCTTTACTACCATATTGCCTAAACGTAATTACATTTGTTATCAAAGATTTGGCTGTGACTGCCAACAAGATAATTTTGTGAATATATTCATTTGGAAGGATGCATCCTAAGAAATCTCGGAAGAGGCTTGGGACATGAACTTAATGTTTAGATAGTAATGGTAACTCAAGTATTTTGAGAATTTTGGCTGTCCTGATTAAAAATGGAACAGAGAAGTAGTCTAACGAAGAATGATGATGACAATAATAATAAAAATGGTTTCTGTAAACAGTGTTCAAGTTGTGGAGTTGCTAGGTTATCGGGAGTAATACCAGTCAAAGAATTTGCAAGTGTGATTAATTTCTATGACTGCAGGTATTTCACTTCATTATTCTCCTGTTTTTCTAATAAGTTACTCCCCTCCCTTCTTTACCTTTTTGTTTTCCATCCTCTTTCAAGGGGATCAAGACTTGGATTTGTCCTACAAGATAATATTAAGCACCTCACTGACCATTTAGTTTTTTCTAAGGTATACTTAGGTATTCTTAGGTATTTTTCTGGTTAAAGTCATGGAGTTTATGGAGATGATGGACTTTATGGATCTGATGCATTTCCTGCTTTTGTCACTTTTGCTTCCCTTTTCTTCATTCCATGAATTTATATGGATCTATGCCATTCTTATGCTGCTGTAAAACCAAGACTTAACTCTTGCATTAGTAGTGCTTTCAGGGAGTTTATCCCCTGAGGCTGTTACTTTCAATGAAAAAAGACATTTTGAGTATGCTAACATTCGTAGCATCAGCCTGATGATTTATAATGAATTTGCTACTTAAGAAAGCTATTTTTTCAGCCTTGAAATAAAAGCTGTACTCTTACATAGCATTGGGAAAGCTGTCATTTGCCAAGGTGCTATGGAAGCTCGTGTAGGGTGACCGGGTTGCTAAATCCTTCTTGTCATTCGGTTATTCTGCTTTCTAAAGATCTCTCTCCACCTGGCACTGCTAACTCTCTTTTGATCTTTACTTGACTTGCCTAGAAAAACAAAAACAGGCTTAAGAGCATCTGCTGCCCTCAATGAGCACACAGCAATTGAAACACAGGCTGAGCTGACTGCTTCTGACTTCCAGCTAACAACTGAGAGTTGGAAAAAGCTCTTCTGTAAATTGGTTTTCTGAACCACTTGGTTTTCCTGAATTCTTTAAAAAAGAGAAACCTGAAACTAGGAAATAAATGTTGTCTTCTCTATCCACCAATGCCTCCCTGCAGTCCAGGGAACTGCCTCCTCGGGAAAGGATGAAGATGGAACTCATGGGGAAAACGCTACAGTGCAAGTGACGCCAGCCTCTGTGGTGATGCAGCTTTCTTCTTGTTGTATTTATTTCCTTCTTACTCTGCTTTGCTCGGCCCCTTAACTTTTCTCGCGAGGGAGACTTGACTCGTCAAGCTGTGGTGAGGGCCCCGCTGGGCGGCCGTGGCCTGCAAAGCACTGAATGCATGAAAATGCCTGGACTTTCTGCCCAGACTCCTGCAGTTAAAGCAGCTTTGAGTTTCACTCCAGAAGTTGAAATGAGGCACTCTTTGGGTATTTCTTTCCACATTAGAACATGGTCAAGGCCTTTCAAATTTTAGCGTGAAATGGATTTAGTGGTCTTGGTTTGATCTGTATTATTTGGGTAACTGAACTTAAAAAAGGCTGTACCATCACTTTGATGCTCTTATTCTCCTATTTTTGATTCCTTTCTTCTGTACTTTTTACCTGACCCTCAGAACTTGGATTCTGTTCTGTCCTATTGAGGTTTTCATCTCATGTCTCTCACTGGCAGTACTTGACATGGTGCGAATGAGTGTGACATCCTTAGGTTTCAAGTGTGGAGGATTGATTGGTTTATATTTTCTGTCCTTATCCTCTGCCCCTTGTGTGTGTGTGTGTGTGGTTTTTTGTTGTTTTTTTTTGTTGTTGTTGTTTTGTTTTGTTTTTTTTGTTTTTGTCCTCCCACCCCCCCTTGTTTCTCTTGGGTATAAAACAAGCATTTCTTTTAATGTATTTTAATTTATTTTATAGCACCTGGATATCGTATGTTAGAAACTGGCTGGACAGCAAGGCAATGAGTTTTGTCCTCGTTCTGAAAGGTTTTGGAGCTTAGTATTATTCTGAATAAGAACACATGCATACGTTAGGAATATTTACGATGTATTTGAACCATGTACCAAGAAAACAAAAGCGCGTTTCTGGCATTGTAATTCCATGGGCCTGAAAAGCCCGAGCTATTGACTGTTTGCCGTCTTTGTATCGTGTCTTGCTCTTGCCCTTCATCCAAGTTGCCCTGTGTGCTTAGGGCTTGTAACTTCTGTTGCATTTGTTAGTGGCTTCCCTTTGCTCTCTGAGTTCAATGCAGAAGTGTTTTTCAGTCATCAAGGCTCTCCATACATCAGAATATGATTGTTTGCTGTTCCCTATTACTTAGTGAACAGCTGTTTTATCGGTAGGCCTTTGTCACTTATACCTTAGATTTTGTTGCTATATTGCTGTTAGGTAACTGGTATGCTGCAGTTGCTTGTGCCAGTCTGCCCTTTTCAGTTTATTCAGTTTATTCAGTTTATTCAGTTTATTCAGTTTATTCAGTTTATTCAGTTTTCAGATTGCATGTAGAGAAGTTTTTCAGAGGAAAACTGGTTACCTCTTCCAGCAATACTTTGCAGCTGAAAATCTGCATGAAGTGCCCAGAAACAGGCCGAGAGTCTACTTGGACTCCTGAGATCGGGATACACAGATCTCAGTTTGGGGCTCAAGTCAGGGAAATGGTTTGGAATATTTTTGATTTGAATTAAAGTGTCTGCTTGTATAAAATTGATTTTGGACCCATAATGATCAAGTAAAACTTCCCATAAAACAAATACTTCTCAGTAGCACAAAGAGCTTCTCTTTGCACCCATGCTCCTTGTTTTGGTCTCATATTCTTGCCAAATTAGGGCAGAGGATCCTTTCTTCCTGTGTCTTGATAGTTGGGGGAGGCCCTGAGGACGGTGGGCGGGAAGGAGCCTTTGGAAGGCTCCCTTGGCCGGAGCCCCGCAGCACAGCTCTTCCATATGGAGGCTTGAAATAAAGCCAGTCTGAGCCGGGAAAGCACTTGTATGAGAAGTGCCAACAGATTAGTTGAATTTGTAGAGTGGATATGAAGTCTGGTTGAACAGATATTTAATTTTTTTTAGCAATTGATTGATTCCAAACAAACAAAAAGCTGTACCATCTGGTCCTTGGACAACAGAGAGGCATTAGACATTATTAAAAATGTTGTGTTCATTTTTTTGTTCCAAATTCTAGAGAAAAGTAGTTATATAAATCACAGAATATTTAAGGGACCAGAAGGAACCTCTGGAGACAGCCTAGTCTAACCTCCAATTTTTTTTTTTAAGAATTGATATACCTCTTCTGTGAAAAACTTACCTGAATATAAATGTCTACATTGGAAAGTGTCTTGGCAATGCTTAGTCTGTTGGGACAACAATCAGTTGTGTAACCGTTCCCAAATGGGAAGCAGTATAGAGTGGTCTGCGTATTTATTTTTTGCTAAATCAATTATACTTAAACTTCCTCTAGTAAATATTGGAAATGCTCCATTTCCTGCTGGGGCAGAGTACCAGTTATGTAGCTACTTAATGGAGTAACTGCAGAGCTGTGCAGAGGACGAGTATTAACACGCAGTGAGAAATGTCACTCGGTTGAAACTTGATTTTTTTCTGAGCTGTAGCAAAACCAGAAAAGATCCCAAGTTTACTGAGAGAAAACTCAAAGGTTTTTGAACCTTCAAAAGTTGTTGTGAACCAAAGCTATTTCAGGCAAGGTTTGAAGTTACTCTTGAAAATGTCTGTGGGTTTTTATTTTTGTTGTTTACTTGTTTTGTTGGAATTGGCTTCTCATTCTGCCTTTCACATGTGAAAGTAATTGAAACTATATGCCTCAAGATTTCTCAATAACTTCTTCATCTTTTGGACAAGTAACATTTTCTCTGAATATCACTAGCATTGAAGTTGAGCCAAAGGTACAGTTCTTGATACAATATTGAATCCAATGTCAATATATTGTTGTTATGGATCCTCTGTTCCAGGATTTGAAGACCTTATTGCTGTGTCTTATTTTGTTCCAGCTATTTATGAACTCTCATGTGAAGCCTACAAACACTTGGGCAAAACTTCAAACAACTACTGGATAGATCCAGATGGCAGCGGGGCACTGGGACCTTTGAAAGTTTACTGCAACATGACAGGTAACTGGATTGTATTCACTGATTTGACTTAATTTCTTGAATGTAGTTGTGATGGGCGGAGGTGTTAATAATCTATATTTTTGGCAAAAGAAAAGTAGCTGCCAAATATTTTAATGAGAGAGTCTGTCAAAACTGCTATTGAGCATAATCTGGGAAAGGCAGGTGCTGATCTACCTGATAAAATCTAAGAAACAGTATTAACATAAATGGATTTTAATGTTAAAAGGCCTTTGAATCCACAGTGGGACATCAAAAAAATATGAACAGTCACCAAAGCTCTTGTATTTAAATATATTTGTAGAAAACTAGTTTGGTAATATCTGGCTCATGGAGTGCTTGCGAAGGCAGCCTTCTAGGAATGTCACAATTTTAGTAATATCTGGACAGAAACAACTTTCCCACACTGACCACAACAGGAAAAAAAATCATTTATGAGCAAAATATATATTATTAATTAATCTGTTTTCTCCTCTTTCTTTTAACTGGGATTAGAATGATTTATCTTACCTAACTTGTGAAACTGTAGAACTGCAATAAATTGCTTGGATTTCTTTTTAATTTCATCTGCTCTTAAGACTATTTTTGCATGGGTAATTTTCCATCTGGATATTCTTACAGAACGTACCTAATCTTAATCATCAGTGTTGCTATCCTAAAGTAGAAGAATATGATCAAGAAAAAAATGGTTTCCCACATCCCTCAGTTGGACTGTGTTTTGGACTATTAATACATGACACAGTCACTTCATTATTTTTCATATTTATTTTGGAGGGGTGATTCCAGAGATGTCTTTTTGGCTTGCCTAAAATGTCTGCAAGATACACTTCTACGCATTAGAAAGCAGGCACATGTCTGGTTAATCTGACATCAGGGTCTGCTGCAAGAAGATGCTATGGCAGGATGAAATAATAAATCTGCTTATGTAGACATCACAGTGCCTGAATCCTCTAGAACACTCCCTACATACAGAGAGTTATGTGGTTTTGCAACTGGGTGTAGACTTTATGCTCTATCTGACTTGGCTGGGACAGATTTAGACCCCTAAAATCCCCAAAGGGGTGCACAGGGAGCAGAGCAAGTGCTCCCAGCCTGGCAGCTTTGGGGAGAACAGGAGAACGCCACTGTTTAATATTGCCATTAAGTCTATGTCTGAATAATAAATATAGCTCTGGATGTGGAGCCTGATCTAAGCCTGATCCGGGAGCTACACCAATCTTTCCTGGACCAGAAAGGCAGGCCAGCAGTCTGTACTGAGGCACAGGTCTATAGGCAGTTTTTCACATGCGTGGATCCTTGCCCATTTAGGGCTTTTTAAATCATAACCAGCACCTTGAACTGTATCAGTAACTAATCAGGCCGGCACTTCAGGGAACAATGCCAGGAATTTGTGATATATTACAGCGATTTCTGCTATTCAAAAGAACTGCTGTGTTCAGCACTAGCTATAGCTTTTAGGTAGCCTTCAAGGGTAACTTGTAAAGTAAAAATATACTGCAGTAATGATGTTAGGCATGAAAGAGCATACCTTTTCAGGACCAGGGCATCAGTCATTCATTCTAAAACTAAATGCGCAGCAGAAGGTCATCGTAGCTTATTCAAAACTGGAAATTAAACAGTTAAGAAAATTAAAAGCAATGTTTTTTTTTTCTTCCTGATATTTCTTTTCTGCAACATAGTTTCTGGAATAGGTATGTGCATTATTTTTCTAGCCAGGGTAAGACAGACTATTTACTACTCATTCTTTTCTGTGATAGATCATATTGCAAATTGTATTGCAGGTAGATCTGTAGATCATATCCAAATGGAATTTTCTGTTTTAATGGTATTGCTGTCATCATCAACCCCTTGCTGCAAAAAAAGACGCTTTACGTCAATATGAATATAATTCTCTATTTAAAAATAAGAATGTGATAGAACTTTCTCCATTAAAATGCAAATGACTGCAAAAGTATGTGAAAATTGACAAGAAACAATTTTAATCTCCACTTCCAAAGGTGGAATGGCATTCTTATAGTTGTTATTCTCCTATACTTTAGCAAAATATTATTTATAATTCATCACCTATATACCTGTGAGGATAATTGGAGTGTAAGTACCTGTTCACTCCAATTGTTACGGTGTTTATCTTCTAATTACCAGTCATCTTATACGCTGAACATGTTGAGGCGGGGGGGGAGGGAAAGAAAAGAATATTTTTCAGTACAAAACTCATAACACCCTAAGCCCTGCTCTGAATTGATGTAAAATAGTATCAGTAGTGTAGGAACTGAAAAAGAGAATGGGGATTTACCTTGGTTTCTTGAGCAGTATATTTCCCTAGCACTCTAGTTTTGCTGTATCTCATAAGATGACAAAAGATACTATAACATATTGGAATAGTGTGAGAAATATCAAATAGCCAGAGTATCAAAAAATGTACAGTTTTATAGGCTTAATTCTGCATTTGAAAAGGAACTTAACAGAACTATTGTTTAACTGAACTGAAGTATGTTTTAATAGTGGGGTAGCTAAATAACCTACAGACCTAGCTACAGTGAATACAATGCAGAGGACAAAAAGCACTTGGTCCCTGTATATGGCAGGATACTCCTTCTCCTTTAATAGAGGCATCCTTAAATATTGACAACTGCACTTTCTCTGAGGTTCTGGCTTCTCTGAGAAACCCGTCTGGATGTTCACATCAATGCAGTATTCTGTTAAATAAGCATCTCTGCCTTAAAGCACCGCTTCAGATGCTCATAACTGCTTTATATATTCCTTGTTTCAGTTGGATAGAACTGGCAAGGAAAAGCAGCTTAGTGGCTGAAAGAGTAATGAATTTAATAGTTTGGCTACCGGGAAGAACAAGTCCACAAGAAGGTTGGGTTTATTAGCAAAGAAGGTCCCAGTTTTTCTGAAGACAAGATGGCTTTTCAGTTATGTCCTTGTATTGCACTTATTCCGCCATAGTATTACCTCCATCAGCTGGAGGATAAGCTGTGTGCTTATTTGTCTACCCACCTTTAGGAGGAGGGCTCATATTCTAAAAAGCTGTGGAGTTGTGTTTCTGGAAACTGGATCTCTGCCTCTTGAGCACAGTTTCACAAATTTCCTGGATTCACAGTTATGTCATCCTTTTATTTGGAGATTCTGTAGTCCGTGTGAGTGTGAGATCCTCGGTGTGTTAATGGTCTCCCTTTTAAAAGCTGGAGAGAGAATTACAATTTAGTAGGCAGCTGTCTGGGCATATATCTGGGTATAATTCATGTCAGTATCTTCAGTATGTCTTGATTTAGGAGACTGGCATGTGTCATGTTGATGAGGCCTGGTGTCCCGCATGTCCCTATGGTAGCCCAACAACTGCTCTCATTCCCAAGCTCTCCTTGGCTATTCAGGAATGCAGTAAAAGTCTGAACCACATGCATGCACGTGGACACACACATGCACTTGCAGAAGCTGTACATGGTGCCCACTAACTTCTGTATTTTGTACTGTCAAAGAAACCCCCCACCATACTCTCCTCCATGTGTTCTCTCGAGCAAGTCTTACATTTACAGTTCTAGGTTTCAAAAATGGAGGAACTGAGCACTACTTAAACTCTGTCCTCATAGTTTGATATTTCACACTTAAACATTTGTTACTGTTGTATTAACAAAATATTTCAAAAATTGTAATGCCTATTTAGAAACCTTCCAAATACTTAGCAAAAACTGCACATTTTAGGAAGTACTCATGGGAAATCGTTCTTAGAGACTGTTACGTGATATGCTCTGTAAAAACTGGACTGTAAAAATGAGACTGCACTTCATGTCAGCTCGGGTCTTGGCTCTGTAAGGGAGCTCTCCCAAAACTCTCACCTTTAGGCTGGATTCTTTCCTTATTATCCTGTATCACACGGATCCACAGTGCACTGTTATCCTCTGGATTGGGAGGATTCCACCAAAGTGAAAGCACCCATCTCAACAGCCAATTTTGGGCCCTTGCTGCTCTGCCTTGGCCGTCATTGTGACAAGAACTGGTGTTCCTTTGGGCTCTGGGCTCGACATTGGGAAGTTATAGACTTTCTTCTTTTGCTTCATGGTTTAAATTACTGATGCAAAGGAGAGCTGGAATGTTGCATAGCTATTCAATTAGGAGATATGCCAGTTAATTCTTTGTCTTGGTCCTGAAGTCATTTGCCTCTACGATCTGGCTTTTATTTCACTATCCAAATAGCTGCAGGCATAATTGCTCTGTTGGAAAGGTTCTTGCCCTGTCCACTTCCCTGAACAGTTCTTTGCCTGAAGCTGCATGTCTTCAAACGCTTTGAGAGATTATTATGCATATTCTTAGCTTGCCTCCTTTAGGTCAATTGCAGAGGGTCCTCTCTCTGCCCATGCGCGTGCGCGCGCTCTCTCTCTCTCTCTCTCTCTCTCTCTCTCTCTCCTTTTGCTAACACAAGTGGCACATGTAATAATTACTGCAGTGACTTTGTGAACAGTCATTAAGCAGTCGTAACTGTCGTATCCTATGATTTTTTTTCTGTCTCCTTGTGGTAAATAGTGGGTCACTGGAGTGCTTTTTATGATGACATATGTAGAAACATATGGCATGAATATAAATGTGCCATTCATCACGACATACTGATGAAAAGTGCCCCAACAGTGGTAAATGTTTAGTTCTGTAGCACTTATCTGTATAATTAGTTTCTAAGGTGAGGTGTCTTTCTTTAAAACTGATTTTCAGAATTTGAAGATATCGCAACTTCTTTATGCATACGTATATTCATTGTGTAGGAAATGTAGAATTTTGAGCGATTTAATCCTTATTTAGCAAAAAAGGCGCTCTCCCTCCTTTCCCACCTTGAGAAGACTTTCAGATTAAATAGAAGAGGGGAATAGTATTCTCTTTATCGTTAACTTAAATACAAAAGAGCTACAGTTGGCAATCAATAAGCAATTGGCAATAAGCATAACTTTGCTGTTGGACCGTGCTAAGTAGTTGTATGGTAATAGAAGTGCAGAGACCTTACCTGTGCAGTG